ACAATTGATGTGGCTAACAGTACTTCATACTTAAAATATTTTCATTTCTACAGGGTGATTCATAACTACGTCGTGACCCAATTTTTTTTTCTGTAGTGAAAAGACCCACATTTTATGGCAGATGTGGATAAGCCCTTCCAAACAAACCAAGTTGATATAATATACCTTGCGGTTTTATTTATGAATTGTTGATATATTGAAAAATAACTATATCAACAAAAATACTAAGCTTTAATAACTCGCATCTTCGCCACTGTATTAGCTAGAGTATTGAACTCTTAGTCACTAGAATTTTATATCATATTGTGTTCCCATCCATATACTTTTCTCTCTCACTCTTTCAATTCTTTTTCACATTTTTTTGGATATTGGCCCTAAGGGAGCTTGTACGACTGGTTTATGACTTACAGCTAACCTTTCTTCAATGTGAATAACTAATATTACAATGACTTTCAAAATAAGAAATAGCATTGAAATGGTAATGACACGTTAGAATTTGTATATTTTTATATTCAGGAAGGTGTCCTTGTGTTTTTAGTAAACTAAAAACCAGTGATACAAACAGGTATAAGACCTATATCAGAAAAAAGCTTGTAACGTGTAAGGTTATCTGTAACTCATAAACTAGTCGTACAAGCCCACTAAGCCTGATTAAAAAAAATGCGTATTCGACCATCCTGCATAAATTATAAAAAACACCAGTACAAGTAAGTAGGTACAGACAAAACATAGAATCATGAAATTTCTCTGACAAAAAATGCAGTTCTCCAGTTATAAGAGCTATAGTTTTTTTTCGATAAAATGACCAATATCTCAACAATTTGAAAAAATGACTATAGTATATAAAATTACTTCGTTTCAAATGGCCTATCCAAACCTGTCATACACTGTATAGAAATATTTTTCAAGTTAGGGGCATACCGCTATACTCACCCTGTATATCATAGTTTTTCAAAATTTGGTAGGCCGTCATTAAGTTGATACATATGCAAACAACCAATGTTTTTTAAGCCGTTATATTATTGTCTTTCATCTCGTAACTTGCTGAATCAGTCCAGCTTTTATCGAATTATCTATCATTGTAGATCAAGAAAATTACTCTGTCTACTCAGAGGATAAGACTGAAACCGAATACATTCCGTCCACTAATTACGATTCCTCCGCGGAAACACCGATAACAACTACAATTTACCCTAAAGTGGATCGAAAAAGAAATACCCAATATTTGACATTACTTCAAAGGCTGACGAAAAAGAATCGGATGGAAATCTCTACTGGGACCCAGCGAGGGGATTACCGAGTATGCCTTTAAGCCCTTTGAAAGGAAAAGAAACGAAAAATACACAATATACTGGAAGCGTAGAAGGGGTCAAGTCAGACACTATATTAAGAAAGAAAAGGCACGACGTGGTGAAAGTCTTCAAAAGGGTCAGAAAGCAGAACTGAACGACATAGAAAAGCGAACCCATTTTTAAGACGTTATTCCTAGACAAACAGATTTCTCCGAGGAAGAAATTGTAATAAATACCGCAGAAAAGAAGGAGGGTAAGAGGTTCAGGAATAAAGTGGATTCATGTTATTTTTGTATGAAGCTGTTCCAGCATGTGCATGTGCGATTCACTCATCTGAAACGATAGTTGCCAAGGTATTGGCAAAGGAGAAGAACCCCAAAATAAGAAAGAATGCCTTCGCAGAATTGATACGGGTAGGTGACTTCAACCACAATTGCGAGGTTTTGTCACTAAAAAGCGGAGAAATGATCCTAGTTCGGCGACCCACCGAGCTAGAGGCTAAGTCTCTATCCTACAGCAATTATGGACCCTATCCCAAATGTTTGGGTTTTATGCTAAAAAGACACCTCAGGCACCATACGCGAAATTGCGAGCTTCAAGGTAATGGAGAACCAAATGGTAGCAAAAATGGTTGCTGCAGAGAGTAATGCAATTTTGAACGAAATATTTGGTAAACAGCTTTCTAGAGAATTTTCATTGGAGATACTTGGGAAGATGAGAGAAGACGATGTTGGAAGATGCTGTGTTAATGATTCGCTTATATATACTTTGTGTTACTCACACCGACAGCGTTAAGAGACCCGAGTTTGATACACCATCCGTAGCTCTGAAAATTGGATACTCTCTCAAAAAGTGTGATGTAATACAGAGAGGTGTTGCACTTAGAAATGGCGATCTTTTTTTTTTTGGCTTTATGACCAAGCCATGCAGCTAGAAACTAGGTTGGTAAAATGTCCAGTGTTCAGATGTACAAGTAATACTATATATAAATAAGACTGGTGGCACTACCTCATCAAAAGGTGTCAATGAATGCTAAAAACGATTTATTTTGAATGAATTATCATAATTGAATCCGAAGGCAGCAGCGGTGGCCGCAGTAGTAGACTCTTCGGTCTCCTGATCAGTCGCCGTGCGCTGTGCAGGTTCGAGTCCCGTCCCAAGAGAAATTTTTCTCTTGGCTATGGATGTTGTGATTGTCCGTAGGTGGTAGACGGTCTCTGACTGTCGAACGCGGAGGTAACACCCGGCGGATCTCGTAGGCGGAGCCAGAATGTGTGCATGTTGCATGCACACGTGTTCCCTCGCCAGAGTCCGTGTGGCGTTCCCCTTTTCCCATGTATCCCCCTATACCCCCACGGTACCCAATGGGTGCTTAGGCCTTAGGCCTTCGTGGTAGTGGGAGTATTTAAAAGAGGAATTCTTAATTGTTGTTGTTAACCTAAACTCTCCATACAAAAACAGAAGACAAAGGGTAAGGAAATGTTTCACGCCAAGGGGTCTATCAAGGCGACTTATACAGAGGAGGACCACGGTAAAGGTTATAATAAGGTTTTCAACAAAGGATCGGCAGCTAAGATAGACCTAAAAATGAGCTAAGAAAATGCTTTAGGTTATGCCGTTATTGTGATGGTAAGAAGGTTTGTCTTGTTTTACAATTGTATGCCAGTCTCACAAATGAAGCTAATTAATTGATCAAATATATGTTTATCATTTGTAACTAGCAGGTGCATAATATTATAAGGCTGCGAGACATTTAGTTGGAATAGATTGCTTTTAAGTCTAGCAGATTGTTGTCTGAATTTGGAGCAATTAAAGAACATATGCTCAAGATCTGCGATCTCATTGCAAGTGTCACACATATTACTATTGGCCACTTTGATTTTATATAGGTGAACCGGGTAGCAGGCATGTCCGAATTTCATTCTAGTTATTATGGTTATGTATCTACGTGAATATTTAAATGACTCATGACAAAAATTACTTCTGATTTCAGGTTCCAGTAGAGAGTGTATCTTGTTGGCATCCGTGTGCAGAAATCATGATACTGAGACTTCCATTTTTGCATGAAAATATTCCTTGTGGTGTTCAATCTATCACGCAAAGTGCAACACTTTCTTTAGCTAGTTGATCTGCTCGTTCGTTAAAAGTTATGCCCGTATGGACTATCTTTTTGTCTGAATTATATTGTTGGAACTTGGATATTTCTTGCTTAATCCTTATTATATAATGAGTGATAATAGTTAGAATTGACATCTGTTGGAGACCTTAAGCAAGACAAGACGGATAGAGAGTCAGAAAATATAATACATTTGCAAATACCGGATTCTCTCACAAATTCTATGGATTTCAATATAGCGAATGCTTCCGCTGTAAATATAGATGTTTGTCCACTGAACTTGAACTTCTTCTCGGCCCGATGAGGTATTACCCAGGCAGCTCCAGTGCCCTCAGCAGTTTCAGATGCATCGGTGAAGATGGAAGTATAACCAACGTAACTTCCCATGATCCGTGATATTACACCGTTATTAAAGCTAGCTATTTCAGTGTAGCTAGGGATAATGACTTCAGTATTCAATAGAAACAATGCGAAGTTTACATCCAGAAATGTAGGTGAAAAGTCTGTAGAGTTTCTAAAGGCTTCACAGAGGAGAGGCGAGCCTTTTTTAGACCAATAAGGTGAACTAAGATCATGAACATTCAAGGAGGCTACTTTATTCAAAAAGGGAGCTTTCTTAGTTCTACATTTTAAAATCATTTTTTCAGCAAGCATTTGTCTTCTTATGTCGAGTGGTGGCTCTCTAGCTTCAGCTCTAAGGGGTTCAATAGGGGTAGATTTCATTGCTCCTGTGCATACTCTCAAGGCCTTATTTTGGAGAGTATCCAATTTTCTGAGTGCTTGTTTGTTTGCACCACCATATAAATAGCATCCATAATCAATGACAGATATCAAGTAGGACCTGTAGAAGGTAACAGCCGTAACAGAATCTGCTCCCCACCAAGTTTTTGTCACTGATTTCAAGAAATTTAGGCCTTTGTTGCATTTTACTATAATTTCCTCGATATGCGATTTGAAGGAGAGCTTTTTATCGAGAATCATACCTAAGTATTTGATTTCCTCTACAACAGGGAAGTTAGTCTGTCCGAGGATTACTGTCGGTGTACCTGAAGTTCTATGGTGAGAAAATATAAGTACCTTCGACTTTTGTGGTGAAATGCAGAAGCCTAGGTTGTCGATACATTTTAAGGTAGGACAAATTTAAGAATTTAGAGATCTTAAGCATAGATCCAACATTTTGGAAAAAATGTAAAATACAAAGTCGTCAGCGTATTGAATGACATTCAGGTTAGAAGAAGTGGTATGCATCGATATCGTATAAATATTAAACAGAAGCGGGGATAATACAGAGCCTTGTGGTAAACCTTTGGAAAGTAGTCTACGTTCTTTGATACTCCCATTATATTGTCTAATGGAAATTGTTCTATTTATATATAGTTTGCAAATAGTGCTTGCGATATCTTCTGGAATTTGTAGGTTCACTATTTTTTCGTAGAGGGTAAGCCAATCGACGCTATCATAGGCGCCTTTAATATCCAAGAAGAGTGCGCCCATATATTCATTTTTCGAGTGACAAATGTCTGTGACCAAATGGGAGAGTGCGTCGCCAGTTCCATAATTCTTCTTGAAACCATACTGAGCTATGGGTAGAATGTTGAGATGATTGAGCCACCATTCCATTCTATATTTTATCACCCTTTCGAAAAGCTTCAATAGACAGGAGAGAAGAGAGATAAAGCGGTATGACTCGATACTGTTGGGGTCTTTTCCTGGTTTTAGACACGGGATAAGGATGACTTTCTTCCATTCGTTGATATCATCGCCTAGAATCCAAATATCATTCAGAATTTCAATCAATAGTTCTTTAGCATTAGTAGGGAGGTTCTCAATCATAGGGTAACGAATCTCATCATAACCCGGGGACGTATTTTTTCTGTTATTGACTACAAACTCTACTTCCTTCAGATGTATAGGTTCTAAATAAATTGGGTGATTATTTTCACTCTGTTTGCTATTTTTTAATATGGAGGAGAAGTCATTATCAACAGTGGGTGGAGCGATACTATCAAAGAAATCATCTTGCCATTCAAAATTTCTGGATTTATTTCTAGCTCGTCCTTGCATTCTTTTGGCTTGGTTCCATATTTCTGTAAGTGGTGTATTTCTATTAAGATTAGCGCACCATTTACGCCAATTACTTCTAGCCTTTTCTTTCAAGGTCTTTTTGGCTTTGGCTTTGTTTACATCTTAAATCATTTTCCATTGTGCTTCGGTTTTTATATGCACGTAGTTGATCCCTCCTAGAGTTGACCACATTTTCACACTCATTATCCCACCAGGGAGGCAATATGTTTTTATTGTTGCATTTTGAAATCTTGTATTTTGGGATTGATTTATCCGCTGCAGCATTGATTCCTTCAATGAGATGGTGATATTTTGATTCCGTGTTATGTATCTGTGTTTGGTTACTGTTGAAAAAGATGTAGGCTGTGTGATTATATAAATTCCAGTTTGCCTTTTTTAGGTTCCACTTTGATTTCGGACCGTAGAAATCAGCGTCTGAACGAGATATGTTTCTTTCAATTTCGATGATAATCGGGAAGTGATCTGAGCCCATGGTATCTCCTAGGGTATACCATGTACATTGGATTGCCAAATTTGGCGAAAAGAAAGTTAGATCGATAGCAGAGTTGTTGTTTAGAGAGAATCTAGTTGGTTGACCGGTATTCAGTAAAATTATATCTATGTCAGAAAGGATGTCGGCTATTTGATGACCTTTCTGGTTGGCTTTATATGAACCCCAGATATTATGGTGAACGTTGAAATCGCTACCTATGATTCCTGTATTATTGAGTTGACTGAAAATGTTTTCCCAGTCACTAGCGCTAGTTGTGCTATTTGGCGAACAGTATAAGGAGAAAAATGATAGTAATTCATTATACACGTAGCCATTCTTTATTAGAATTGCCACTCCGGCATAACCATCAAACCTATCATTCCTAACAACATTGTAACCCTTGAATGAAATCAGACTGCCAGGCTTAAACCATGTTTCTGAAATGAGCGCTATATCTACATCATATTCACATAGACACTTTACCAAACTATGTTTATTCGATACGGCTGATTTAGCATTCCACTGCAAAATTTTTAATATGTTTGTGTTTGAATTATCCATTGAAATATAGTCTGCTTAATTTATCAAATACTACTCCAGTGTCTATGTTTTTCAGTTCTTCAAAGGAATTTATATCTTCTAAAACATTCTGGAAAATATTGAAAAATACATTCGCTAATTCTTTAGCGTTCTCGTCTAAAGTAGATTGGTCTAGGGGTGGTAAGGCTCTACTGGGGCCAAAAATGAAAGGAAATATACTAGGTTCCTCCGGAGAGGATGCTACTTTTTTCTTTCTGTTAGTGTTACTTGTGGCCGGCGAAGCCGACTGATTACCTAGTGAGTGGTAGGTTGGTGAGTTTCTTAAGGCTGAAGGATGGGAAGAAGTGTGTGGTGTTTGTGGAGGGTTGTTAACCCTTTCTGAAACTTGTGGCAATGGTGGGAAATTGTCCGTATTCTGCGTATCCAGGACTGCATACCTGTTGCTAGTACTAACAGCCGTCGCATACGACTGAGACACAATGGTCTTGGCTTCAAGGAATGTTAAATTTTTTTCAGACATGACTTTTTTTATTTTATTTTGTTCGGAATACTTAGGACACTTTCTCGAGATAGATTTGTGAAGATCACTGTTACAATGTAAACAAAAACTATCTTGCGGGTCTCTACATGAATGCTTTTCAGTTTTTTCCTAAGAACAATTAATACGCATTGTTTTAGTGCTCCTACAACTTTGTTACGTGGCCATGTTTTAGGCACTTGAAACATTATATGACCTTATGTACGTCAGGTTCAACCGGACATGCAACACTGTTTATAAAAATATGTGTGGGAAGGGTGTTGCCCTCAAAAGATAGGAGAACCGTCTGTCTATTAACAAATGTCGTGCCTCCATCGATATTTAATTTCTTTTTGAATGTGCTAACTTCGGTAACTGTGACCGAAGGATTTACGTTTTCTAAAATGTACTTTTCATCAAATGAGGTGTCAACATTTCTGATTATGCCTTTTCTTTGTAGCAAGTTGTTTGGTATGAATGCTACCAAGTCTTCTTTGATGAGCCGATCATCATTAATTAGTTTGTTCGCATCACTAATAGACTTTAAATCAATCTTCACTCTATTTCTACCCACGCTTGAGATACTTACAATATTAGGAATTGATAGGGTCTTATGAAAAATATGACCTATTTTCATTGGGTGGATCTTACCTAAATTTCCATCTTCATCTCTTTTTTGGATAAACACGTATACCTTATCTGAGTACAAATGTGGTTTTTGTACGTTCAACACTTTGTTTGGTTGTTCTTTTCCTATTCCATTATTATGGGATATAGATGTATTATCCTGGACAGGGTTCTGGGAGTTTCCTAGGTCCATTCTTATGACCCCCCCGCCATAGGGGGGAGAGTTTGAGGACATAATTAGACACCACCAATTAAAACCACTGTTAATGTTTCTACGTACACAAAAATTAAACATCCACTTTTTGCGCACTACCGGTAAAAAGGAAAATTCTTGCTCCGATACGTACTAGTTGACGTACCGAGAAGAACTGAATGGCGATCTTAAGAAAGACGAAATTGTAAAAGCGTTTTTAAACCTTCTGGAGATGGAATGGGCATCACGCATTTCTTCCAATGTTCTTAATACTTTGTACAGCCGAAAGATGAACAAAACTCAACTACTACCTATCACTGAAGATCTGTTAAAGCTTAACACATTCATTAGTAACTCTATCAAAATATACAAGGAACGCCTACAGACATTTTCAGATTCCGAAAGCTGGAAAATGCTAGCGTATAGCTTACTGGCAAGAATAATACTTTTTAATAAGCGCAGATCTGGGGAAGCCGCAAGAATAACTATAGATAGCTACAACTCAAGATCTCAATGGAGTGAACAATCCACGACTGAGTTGAAAAATTCCCTAACACCATTTGAGGTGAAACTTGCCCAACGATTAGCGGTAGTAGAAATTCCTGGGAAAAGGGCCAGGAAAGTACCAGTTCTTCTTACGGACGAGGTTAGGGTAGCGCTCGACTTGTTAATATCAAATAGAACAGATTGTGAAATATCTGGTAATAATTGTCTTTCGAAGATGTGCAAACTGGCTGACTTGAGAAATCCTCAACTGATTACAGGTACTAAGCTAAGAAAATATGTGGCTACCGTATGTCAGCTGTTTATGTTATATGAAAAATGTCATACATTATCTCAACCATTTTATGCAAAAGGCGATTGAATTCATTATATTGCTTTTCGGACACAGTGAGCAGATTTTACTTTCAGTTTTAGCAATAATGCATTATAGCTGAATGCTATTCAAACAAATTTTATTTCCATACTACGCTATAAAAACGATATTTAAATTTTCAAAAACTACAGCACCTCTCTAACCACCCATGTGAGAGTCCATTGTATTTATGAACTGTGTGCAATAAATATTGAATCATGTTAGATACCTAACATTGATTTTTTAATATTGAAGTAAGGATACATTTTGATATTGTGAGATGAGTGGCTAATACAAAGCTCAATCAATCCGGAACCAATTTAAATAACATACCCGCTACCTAACTCACAGCATCGGAATCCATCACCAACTTGACTTTAGTATTACTGCAACACCCCACGTTATCTGCATCTTAATTTTTTCTTGAACTTAGGAGGTTGACGTTGGTTTATTTCCCACGTTACTGTCAAAGTTTTGTAATCGCGAAAAATGTCTAAAATGAGATATTGTCTTTTGGATGTTAGACGTATATTAGAAAAAAACATATCACTCATTTCCATCGATGTGTCGGTCTATCTATCTGTTTGCTTATCCTTGACGCTATAATTTGGAAAGGACCGGTCGGATTTCCATGTAATTTGCAAACAAGGCTACTACTGTGCCAAAGACAAAAATGGCCAAACTCCATAATTTAATTTTGTTCAATCAATATTGTTTTTTACTGATACTTATTCTACTTTGTGATTTTATACAAGAGTACAGAGGGGTACAAAACATCGAATAATGAAGATGCATATTTATTCAAAGTCCATTTATCCAAAATTGCGTGGGAAATACCAAGTCAATCTACTAGACATCAATTCTTATAATCACATACCTTAAAGCATGTTATTCTATATTAAAGGTGTTTGATCCGACTGAAACCGAATCTGACTGGTTAGCCACGACATACGGGTCCACAGAGAATTTTATCGCTTACATCAGAGCACCGTGGAACTGACCAAAGTTAGTAAATTGCTGATGGCGGTTGATGAAGGAAAAGTGAGCACCTTCGCTGGAAAGTCACTAGCAGATGTAGACATAGATGGTACCTAAATGATTTATCAACATGTGTAAGGTAATTTAGGCATATTTCTTATTTACCGGTGCGACACGATAAAGGTAAAAAGCACAATTCGTAACCGCTTCGACATGGATAAGTAAGGTATCAGTTTTATTCCTTACAGTTTTATCGCGACCCAACGACAAATGGGGAGAGTTTAGGCTTTTATATTTACCAGCGCTTATTGGTAAATTGCAATCCAACCGACCACATCAATAGCAAATTTCCGTTCAAGTTACTTTGTCTAGGAACTAGAATAAATTATCAAACCCAATTAATAACAGGCGAAACTCAAATGTAATAAGTCAGCTGTGTTTGCAGATGTACCACAAATAGAGAGAAATGGTGACATGTGTCTTACATAAAACTCTATTATGGTGACTGCTAAAAATTGTGGCGGCGTACACAGGTCGCCACAGACATTTTATTAAATTGTTCGCGATAATTAGAAGCTGCAACCGAAAATTACCAACCCAATAAATAACATGTTAGTTTTAGATGTAATAAGTCAGTTGCTTGCAGATTTACCACAAATAGGGGAAAGTGAGAATGGATCGGATTGTGAGGCAGAGTTGGACGGTCAAATTTCACCGCAAGACAATCCACCTACAGAAGTCCCAAAGAATGCTTCTTCAAAGCCGACTCTACAGAAAAGAGGTAACCTTAGTTTGAATGCACAATTTATACGTATATTCATCTATCCTTCGGATGCATAAGCAATCGCGAATAAATCCTAATCTTATTCAATGAGGTTTTTTGAGATTTCGGAATGCCCCAATCACGCAGCTTCATCTCACTTACTTCCATCGGTTTGCCTGACGCTCAGATATCGATGGTACCGGTCCATTTATTTGTCGGTTCAGCGGCATTTGGCAAATTGACTGTGTGTGGAGCAATAGCTTGTACTGATTTACCTTCTCGGGAACGCTGTAGCTTAAGCGACAGTAATTTTCTCAAAAGAAAAGGAAGCTGTCCTGACCTATTTCAAAATTAATATCAGGAACTCAATAGTACCAGGGAAAGTAGACTGCATGAAATGCATCGAAGCACATCCTCTGCTGGATCAGAGAGACTGGAAGAAAATTAAATATGCAGTGAAAAACGTCATAGATAAAAACAAAAAGCTAAAAAAGAAACATACAATGTAACAAGTTTTAATTTTGCGTTTTTTTTTTGCTCTGCAATACAGTAAGAAGGGCCTGTAAGGCTATTTGTTGAACTAATTAATTTTTTAGCGAAAAAAATCCTAAATAAGTTTTATTATTATTCTATTCATTGTGTAGCTACTATTAACATGCACAAAATAAAGCCTTAGGGTATGAAGTTCATGAAAATTGGCCTTAAAGAATTATTCTAATAAATTGTTGTTTAATGACTCAAATCGACTGAGACTTCCTAGGAGAGACCAATTTTTTCATACCGTTTCGCCAGGAAACAAACCAAGTCATAAAGAGACCTTAGAGACCCTCCTTTTATAAAGATGTATCTGTACGTGTTTATTTTTTATTTAGGAAACTACTTTACGCTTCGTACAGCGTATATTTCTTGCACTGTAAGAGATTTTAAGTTTCTGGGTGGGTCCACATAGATCCACAGTGAGAACACGACTATTACCATAGATCAGACAATATCAACACGACCGCGCATAAAACCTGATTTCATTGGTTGCTAGGAGCTGTGTTATAATAACCAATCCGTATGCGCGTATCTTTGTGGACTCACCCTGTATATTTTTTATGTTGTCTGATTGTGTTCACTGACATTTACTTGTTAAAGTTTTGGATGACATTAATTGTTTAAAAAATAAAGAATTAAAACTATATTGCGCCTGCCATCAACCGCATTTCATCCTCATACATTTTTGGTATTATTTTGAAATACCCAGGATTCTTGAAGTACATCCTACCGTATACGTATCCTTAAAGCCAATGAGAGTATCGATTGATATGTGCTTGAATATCACTTATATATCATTGTGGCGACAAACCGATATGACAACATTGCAAAAACTAAACACTCCTATTATGGAGACCTGAAGGTACACAGAGCTCATCTTTCAATATTAGTGGCTACTCATACACTCTGTTCACAAATGTAAGTTGTTATGACACCCGTAGCCACAATATAATTTAGCTGTTTTTAATTGTTAAACGGAGTGTATACCGTTTTTATTGATACCAGCCTACTGCGCAAGCACTGAAGAATGTTCAGGAGAAATTTCATCGAAATCGCCACAATTGAGGACTATTCACGCGTCGCCACAAGAACCTAGGCGCCTGTATAGGTGTGTGTGTGCGTGTGTGTGCGTGCGGGCGTGCGTGCGTGCGTGCGTGCGTGCGTGGGTGCGTGTGCGTGTGCGTGTGCGTGTGCGTGTGCGTGTATGTCTGTGGAAGTAACTGATTGCCACAAATACAGACTAACATTGGAGAACATTTTTACTAGAAATGTAGAATAAGATTGGAGACAGTAAGAAAGGATACATGATAATTATAATCTGATCAGATACAGGGAAAGTTACTTATCATTGATATGGATATGTGCTATTTAGTAATATTGATCTCAAAAAAGCATTTAACAAAATTGTTTAGCTAGCAGTTGTTACAAGTTCAACATTCATTATTTGTAGTGTAGCCAGAAATTGTACATATGCAAGTTTTATAACATAAACACTCAAGCTATTCTTTCTAAAGAGAAACGTTTCATAGAAAAGAAGGGTTTGTACTCTCACCTGTGTCAGTTATCTCAAACCAAAATACGGACACCTAGTCTAAAAGATCTGCTGATATAGATGAATTTCTTTCGCAAACCACTGCTTTATAAATGTTTTATGTACCTGCAGCTATGTTTCTATGATTTTCATTTGGGTTTAAGATATTGTAGTTAGAAATAATATGCTGTATATCCTTTTCAGTGTTTATTGATTTAGTTATAGACATTGTACAGTGCATTCTGCATTTTGCATTCGGTGTATGCAGTATTCTCTGGATTTCACCTGGTGATCCTTCCCTAGTTAACCTAAAACAAAACTGAAATAAGTAGCAGATACTTAACTCACACTACTGCAGTCAAATTACTTGTTATATT